GAGCCGAGGGACAGTCCCCGCGGCTGCCGCGTCTGAGGTTAGCAGTGTCCATCCGCCCTTGGACACCTCTGCTCTTCGCTGATCTCAAGGTTTGGCTCGAGCCACCTTTTTCTCCAGATCAGACGTGTATCAGTCGGCACGGCATGAACTGAGCTTTGGATTAGACAACGAGATCCGGGGGGTTGGGCTGGTGGCAGTGCACGGCTGGCCGGCCGAGGGAGGTGACTGTCCCACTCTGCACTGCCATGGCCCCACATCAAGTTCTGGGTGCAGTTTGGGCACCTCAGTGTGAGAAGGACACTGAACTATTAGAGTGTGTCCAGAGGATGATGACCATGATGGTGAAAGGCCTTAAGGTCACTTGGCTTGTTCAGCCTGGGGAGAAGGCTCAGGGGAGACCTCATCATAGTCTGCACCTTCCTCATGGGGGGCAGCAGAGGGGCAGGTGTTAATCTCCTCTCTGGTGACCAGTGACAGGACATGAGGAAATGGCATGAAGGTGCATCAGGGGATGTTTGGGTTGGACATTAGGAAATGGTTCTTCACAGAGAGAGTGGTCAGTCTCTGGAACAGGCTCCCCAGAGAAATGGTCACACTTGAAAACTCTGACCAAGCCCATCAGAGTTCAAGGAGTATTTGGATGAGGCCTTTAGTCATATAGTTTAGTTGCAGGTAGTCCTGCAAGGAGCATGGAGTTGGAATTGATCCTGATGGGTCCCTTCCAACTCACACTATTCTGATTCTACACATTTGACTACACAAACTGAGCAGACGCCTGTTGTATTCACATTTCCAATCTGATGGCACACAGGCCTCCTCGTTACAGAGGTAACACTCAATTTCCCTTCCCTATCAGGCAGGATAAAATCTAGCACTTAACAGATCAGCATCTTCTTGTGCCAGCAGTGTCTGCTCAGCACCAAGGCACCAGAGGCTGAAACCAGCAGAGGAACCAAACAGGAACAGGGCACGAGCAAGACCTTGAAACACAGGGAAGCTGAGGGAGTGAATGGGGAAACTGCACTAGTCAGTGGGAGAAGCAGGTTATGAGGTCTGGAACTGGAAAGCACATTAAAGAAAGGTCATGTCCAGAAAGGTCTCTTACTGTTTGCTAACATCAGTCAAGAAAAGTTTCTTGGAATCAGACTTTTGCTGAGTGCAATGGAGAAATGCCCACCCTGTTACGGTTGGAATTTGATGCCTTTACACTTTCTGTGAAAGAACAGTTGTACGCTCCTTGCCCCAGCTAGTGACTTATGAACATGGTGACTCAGGTTTAACTAGATCTGGCAAAAGGGCAGACTCGCAGACAGTAATTTGCCAAAAGCTTCATGAAAATACAGTCCCAAATTAAAGCTGACTTGATGCTGCAGCTCTGAGGCAGCATCAGCTGTCAGACAATGGGCAAGAACGACAGTAAACCAAACTCTGGACTTTCTGGTGTTCCTCAGTGTGCAATACTCACCTCTGCATTTAAAGTAGACGTTATCCATGAGCAAAATCAGGGCTTTTGGTTGTAATAACTTTTAAGCAATATTGGAAGCTTATTTGCCAATTTTATATGAAAAAATCTACATGGACCTACTCTATTTTGAAAAAGAAGACCTAAATAACACATACAATTGAACCAAGAGGACAGCATTTAAAAACAAAGAATTGCTTGCATGTGGAAGCATATATGTTAAGCACAATTATTGCTTTGAAACACTGCTCCTCCAACAGAGAATCACAGGCAGCTCAATTTCAGGGGAATGTAGGTGTATTGTTTTGATACACTGTCACAGGCAGCACGTACCTCTTGCCTTTGGGGAACTTGCAATGAATTTGGTATTAAGGGATAGAATCCCAAATTAGACTGTTTCTCCCTCATAGCCACGTTTCAGGTCCCAAGAACTTGCTTAGGTACAGGAGCTACCACAGGCAAAAGTAGCAGCTTTTTTACTATTAACAAAAAAGAGCAATTAAGAGACCATAGCCCTTTGCATTGCGTAGGGACTGTGAGGAGGAAAGAATTAGCAACATTCCCCAAAACAGAATTCCTATAAAGTTAAAACTTTTAAAAGGATTTTCTGCTGTCAGACTAGGAAAGCTGACTTTTGAATTCAAGCTAGATGAGCACCAATGTCTACCCAGTTATTTTTATTCCTTGTGCATTTTACAGTGAGTTGTTTCCCAGAGGGATTCAAGTATAAAAGGCCAATTCTTTAAAGCAGAAATCTTTGCAGTGTCTTATTGCCCCTTCCCTGCTGCCACATTGTTTCTCAAAACCCAGAATAATCTCAAAGAGCAAATGGCAATAAAAGAGTGAAAACTCAATGGTAATAAAGAAATTTATAGTTTCTTTACTTAAAACTGAAGTCCAGTAATTTTTGCCTGTAAAAACAAGTATTTACAATATTGTGTCAATATGGATATGAAACATAGCTAGGTATACCTATACCAGACTAATGTGACTCTGGAGTCTGCTTAGTTTCTTCACTTCTAACATTTATGCCGATGCTTCAGTTCTGAAAAGCTTTTTCTGCTTCTTCCTCTGAATTTTGCGTAGCTTCTTTTTATCTTTAACAATTGGCTTTGACTCTGGTTTCACAAACTGTATTTCCACTGGCTTTTCTTCAGCTGGAGTTTCGAAGACCACTTCAGTGGGATCTTCTTCAACAAGCATCTTACTCCCTTTTTTCTTAATCTGTTGTGCTTCCTTCACCTGCTGTTTCTCTCTTAACTTAGCTGCCACTGATAATCTTAACAGCCGTCGATGCTATAAAAATCAGAATTTAAATTGTATCAGGTTTCAAATAAACAAGATGGAAGAAATCTGGTATTAAAGAAACATGGTAATTTCTCTGCTTAACTGTCAACATCCTCAGTGTAATGCCATCTTTTCAGTGACATTAATTTTGCCTTCATTCCATTTTTACACAATTACTTTATTCTCAAATTGTTGTCAGTTGGGGCACTCATTTCTACAAAGGGTTCCAGGGAAAGGCATATATGGTTCTCCTGCAGAGAGAGCTTGCCAGACCAGTCTTCAAATCAGCTGCTAAATGAAAGAGAAGATAAAGACAAAGCTGCTTACCATATTTGGCGACTGGTAATGGGGATTTTCATACAGAGTCGGTCCTCCAAAGCTACCCTGGAAGATTTTTATGAGGTTCAGGACAAAACGAGGCCCAATTTCCACTAGAGATGCATCTTCTTCTATTATCTGCAATTAAAAAAACCCACTCTCTCATGGACTGAATCAAAGTATATGACCTCATAGGCACTTTGCATACAGTACACAACTGAATTTAAATCCAAGATACAATGCCACTGAAGCTGGTAAGCTGGACTTGTACAAACATAGTTCTGTATATAAAGCAGTTCTTTGGGGTTCAAGCAAGCACTTAGAGAGTACTTGGCTTATGTGAATTCCTCCTTTTCCAAGTAAGCTCCAGCACACTGTGGGGCCAAAGCAGCAAGTGAGGATAAAGACAAGCAAAGCTCAGGCTTTGGCGACTACTTCCTGTTCTCAAGACAACCACCACAGAACTGCAGCTAACAGACCGTCAGTGGAAGGACGCAGAACTCAAACCAGCTCTCTCCAGAGACATGGGAGAAGGGATTTTAGGACACTGAAATTACTTCGTGCGCACACTAGGTGTTGGCATATGCTGATAATAATGGTTCTTTTCATTTTACTGTAATTAATGGATTTGATATGAAATTACTCCACTGAGCACCACTTGAAGAGCTAAAAGAGACCACTAACCTGGTAATTCCGAAACCAGATCCTCTCATCTGTAATGGTGAAGGTGAAAACATGATCTACGAAAGGCTGGCTTTTGGGGTGATACTGTGGTGTACTAAATATCTGTAATAGAAGGCAGTTATTTCTAAATATCTGTCATTGCAAGAGGCCAAACATAAATGGCCCATTTTTAATTCATTTTCATTTACTAAGATCCCAAACCCAGGTTATATTTTAAAACCCAAAGCTTAAGAACAAGTGTCCCAGCACAGGACCTTAATCCTTTGAAGATTTTTTGCAAGTTCAGAAGTGTAAAACTACTACTTAAAAAACCCCTGATATTTTAAAACATGTTGCCAAAAAACATTTCCAATGACGAAGAAACACTGGACAGCAGAACTACAGACCTGAATAAACAATTCTTTTAGTAGGGCATAGTGTGGCTCCTTGTCGAATGTCTGTAAGGAAAAATGTAATTTTACATACAAAGCTAAATGCAACAGTCAGGTAAAGAACACAGAAGCATATTTTATGAAATAAAACTTATACTCACCGGATCAAAAGACAAAAGGGGCCGTGAGCCCCTTAGGCAGTTGCCTGTCATCTTCAATTCAGCCAGTGTGTGAACTACAGTGATTTTTTTTAAAAAGATCATTTTAGTCCTTAGAGAACACAGTGCAGACAAGAAAGCAAGAGTTCAAACACAATAATGTCAAGCAACTTACCGTTCTGCACTAAGAATTTAGCTGATGGTCCCTGTGGCGTATTTGAAAGCCTGCAGAGGACAGGTAGTGAGGAAGAGAGAAAAGAAACATGTTAACAGCAGACAGAAGGACTTCTACAGTACACTCCAACCAGCTGTTTCTGTATTGAAATAAATTCTGTTGGTTTTATGGCATTATTGAGTTCTTTTAACATACTTATAAATATCTGCTTTCTGAAAAATTTTGTAAAATGCTTCTGTAAGCAGTCTACAAAAGCAGGTCATACATTGTGAACTTGCACTGCCCACAGAAGTGCAGGCTTGGTACAGGTTTAACTAAGCAACACTATTTAATGCATCTTCACTATTACAGTAGAGAAACTTCACACAGAATGGAAGCATCCCCAGCTATAAATGGAAATGTAAGAAAACATAACATTTCCTTACCACATATAGAGATCCTGTTTCTTTTTGGCTTCAAAAAAGATGCACTTATTGCAGTTTTTCATTTCACACACCTACACAAGACACATCAAATCAGCTGTTTACAAAATTCTGAAGACATTTTCAAAAACTTTCCACATTAATCTCCAATATTTCCCCCCCTACAAAATAAAAGTTCAAAAACAACAGTCTTGTCATAATAAATTATACCTCTTGATCCACAAACTTAAGTTGAAGAACTTGTTTTGTAGAAAAATCTCACGTATTTATTGCCAGAAATAAAGCTACAAGCAATCTGATAAGCTCTCCAGGATGTAAACATTAGAGCAAGAGCTGTGACATTAGGTTCTAGTTTCAGGACTACCAATGTCCTACTACACTGTTCGGCCTGGCTGTGTATTTGTTCCCTCCGTTTTTCAAGCAAACTGTAATGCACTTTTCCCCTTTTACAGAAAGGCACATTCTGTTTTATTTTTTCATGACAAAAGTCTGTGTTTAATTAAAGGTTTCATTTTGGTTTTATTAATCAAAACTCAACTTCCAGTCTTAACACGAGCACTTTTTCAGTATCAATAATTTCCATCTGTTGAAGTTATACAACTCCTATAACTAGTATGAAATCCTTTAAACTTGTTTGCCCTTTTCTTTTGCACACTGAATTTCCAGATAAAATAAAAAAGAAGCACTAGTTAAATCTGGCATTACCTCATTAATTACAGACAACTGGTCTTTACGGTCCATTTTAGTATCTGGAAGACAAGAACAGCATTTAGAAGGCTGGAAAACCAATTTAACACAAGAAGTTTTGCAAAACATTTACTGGCTATAAATGAAAGATTAAGAATAACCATCAAATTATTTCAGCCATGTTATGCAATAAATAAACACAGCAAGAAAACTGTCTGGACCCTGACAGGACTGCGGCCCGACAAGTAATTTGCCAGAGAATATTAAAACACAAGGACAGTTGCTGTATTTGTTGCCTCAAAAGGGATTTGGTGTTTGTTTAAGATAAAAGTTTCAGTAAAACAGTTAATGTACCACATTTTTAAAAAGAACAGGTTGTTAGAACTTCTTGGTTTAATACTATTCTGAAGATGCAAATTAGGTATGATGCCTAATCCTACCTGCTTTAGAGTGGGGCATCAACGTCCTTAAGTCTTGCATTAGGTGCCTTGTTCTGAAATTAATTCCACGAGAAGAGAAAATAAGCACTCGCTCCTTGTTTTTCCATTTACCCTACGAAAAAGACATGGAAGTTAAGCTGAGAAAGGAAGTCTCTAGCCTTAAAGCTACTACAACATAGCAACAATAAATGTTTGAACTGTAATTACAGGAAAACACAGCAAGAACATTTGTTATTACCTACCCACCCACACAGAATCACTCTCTCAGCCAGAGTGAAGACTTCCTTACAGAACATGGGGGCATAAGTTTTTGCAACAAAACCTACCATCCATCTTGCTTCAGTATGTTCCTAAGTAAAGCCTTTCACTCATCCAAAACATGTATTAAGTATTAAGGAAGCCACCTGCAATACTTATTTGCAGAAGACACCGCTATGTCCCTGCAAAATGACCTGAGCTACAGTCTCAGACACAATTTAGCTTTTCCTACAGACGAGCATGTGACGAAATCTCAGACTTCAATGCGCTACTTTTCAGTTTTCCTTTAAATAAACTACAGGGCAGTTACTGAAGGCTTCTCAGGATGACTCCTGAACGAAATAGGTAAATTTCCACATGTCCTTTGTATATAACAGAACTATTAAACTCTCTATAATACTTTTGAGATTGAGGTAACATATCTTGGTACACTGACCAGAATAATACGCTTCACAAATCTTGATAGAAATAACACACCACCGCAAGGCACTTTTATTTGCGCTGGGATTATAAAAAAAATCATGACTAGGCCTCTCCATCCCCGCTCGGCAGCTGGGTTCCCCCCGACACCCCGGGTCCCAGGACCCCAGCCCTGGAGGCGGCCGAGGCAGCAGGATCCGGCCCCTCAGCAGCCCCG